TTCAAGGCCGATCTTGTGCTCCTGTCCATGGGTTTCTTGGGCCCTGAAAATGACGTTGTCAAGCAACTCGAGCTCACCCAAGATGCTCGCACCAACATCCTCACCACCAAGAAGACCAATTACGCTACCCACGTCCCTGGTGTGTTTGCTGCCGGTGACTGTCGCCGAGGTCAATCCTTGATCGTCCATGGTATCAACGAAGGTCGCCAATGTGCTCTGGAAGTTGATGTGTTCTTGTCCGGCGCCAGTGCTTTGCCCGTTGCTGGCGGTATCTGGAAGCGCAGTGTTGCTGCCCCCATCAAAGCCAACTAACTTTGCTACTGATTCTACCTCTTCATTATTTTGATTTACTGTTACATATCCCCTCTGCCAATCTCCTAAAATTTATTTTTTTTTCCTCCTAGAATATCCAATTGCATGAAATAAAAAAAAATTGTTTGTTTTTTTCTACACGTCCATTGCTGGATATGAAGTTGCGGTTATTTCTTGTCATTTTGTACTGGTATGAATTCAATTTAAGCAATGTTACAATCTGATATTTGATCAGGCCACCTGGGCACCCATCCCCCTGGCGATAATAGCCGATTTTTCTCTTTTTTTTTAAGCAGCCTTCACCAATCGACCAGAGGTTTTCAGCACCATCATCATTCATGCATTTGCCTTCCGTCACAAAATTTCAGGTCGATCTGACTACTCCAGAGTGCTCTGCAACTTTTGTTTTTTTGTTTTCAAAATGAAAATGAAGAAACTGGTGGTCAAATTCATATTCCGCAGTGTCTTCCATTCCTGGCTAGTGCAATCATGAAATCTGGTCATCAGCGAATATTAACCTCGATATTAAGAAATAATCCAAAAGCTAATGTCACCATTTACAAACGATTCCAATGCTGGTAATCTCTTCTTTCGATGCCGTGCTTGTTTCAATGGCACTCTCCTCAGCTTGGTTTGTCTAAAGCAGCTCCAAAACGTCGGTCCTTTGAAATGGCGAAACCATTTTTTCCCCCCTTCAGTTCATTATTTGACTTGCACACTTGATTTTACTTTCGCGCGCATTAGAAAATAATTTAGCGGTTCGCCCGATTGGTCTGCTTGCTAAAAAATTATCCACCGCTCAAAAATAAACCTGTTTCCCGCCAAATGATGGCAGAAATCCGGTTTACAGTAATAAAGCAGCCTCCCCTCTTTATAGGGGGACGCCAGAAGCGCCTCGTTTGTTTGGGATTTCTAATGATGTTCAGGCAACACTCCACCAGTCTTGCCGTTTAAACGGCATTTTTTTAGTCAGAGAGCAACTTGGCGGTGGCAAGGCTCAACACCGTAGTGGGCTGACAGCGATCAGTGTGGCTCAAAGCTTTCTTTGTCCACCCGTTCCACTGCCAAACTTGATAAAAAAAGCTACAATCTCTTTCTCCATTCTAAATCCCGCGCCAACGCCATCCAACTAATCCTGTCGTTTTTATTTTTATAATTATCCAAAATGACCCTGTAAAAAAGGACTACTTGCTCTAGGCAAGAATGCGCTCAATACTTTTGTCTGGCACCATGATAAAAAAAGCCGTCGTGCTTTTTTGCCAACACTTGACACAAGACCTGATTGGCAACGGAGTTTTCTTTTTTTTTTGCCCAAGAAGTGGAAACAGTTCAGGGCTTTTTTTATTTTTAAAAAAAAAACGTTGGTCCACGCTTGGCGCCTTTTTCTTCTTCCTTGTCCACGGTGTTATAGATTTGATTGACTGAACATGTCTGGCTACACTATCATTTGGATGTTCTTTGCTGCTGCCATTGCTTCTGGAGCTTCTTACATCTTCACTCCCAAAGGCATCAACCAAACGTAAGGCACTATGTTCCTCAGTAGATGATAAACGAAAGCTTGTGTTTCAATGAGTTATTGACCACCTGAGGTTTTTTTTTGATGAATAGCGTTATTCGCACGATGCTGATAATGACTATTACCTGCTGCTACTTGATGTAAGTGACTGAAGAGGTGCCAGCCATCCCAATGGGAAGACAGGATGACGACTCACATGCCTTTCCTTTCTTTCTCACTTTCATCTCTCCGTCATTGCAGGTGGGCTATTACCTATCTTGCGCAACTCCATCCCCTGATCAATCCAGTTCGTGTTGGTCTTCGTCCTCACCACGAGTAGACTCCCAATGTCGCTGAGCACTCGGTTTTGGAGAGCATCTTTCCTGTTACATTCTCTCTTTCGCTTGCTCTTTGTTCCTCGTAACCTCATACCCTTCTTGTTTTATGATCGCTCCAGCCCCTTGATTACATGTATCTTTCGATTAAATACAAAAAACGTGACAACTGGATGTGCACACCAAAATCTTTGTCGTGAACATCAAATCTACGCCGTGAGGATCAACAGCCACAGATCACTTGGCTGCGAGGGGTTAAAAGTTGGCTGTGAGCGGTTCTACCAGCCTTGGCCCAGGCTGATCTTATGAAGCGCCACCAAACACGAGTGGGAACATTTTTATTCATTGTTGGTATGGGGGAGAGACTGGGGGAGAGGCATGGGGGATGAGCAGGGGAGGGATAAACTATAGTACAAGTCGAGAAGGAAGAAGACCAAGGCATTCCTTCACGAGCGGGGAGAGATCAATGGCAAAGAAAAAAAAAGGTCAGGGAAGAGGCAGGTTTTCAAAGGGCATTGTTGGAATCCGAGGTATCCATGTCATCTTGAGCGTCTATGGAGTAGACTAGCTCAGCCTTGACAAAATCATTGATGCGAGGGTAATCCATGCGCTCGTCGAGCTTTTCCTGGGACCAGGCCAGCATATTGAGTAGCTTGGGAAGTCTTGGGTCGGGCTCGCGCGACTGGCTAAGCAAGATGACTTTGTTGAGTTCCTGTGCTGTCTTTTGTCTTTGCTGAGGCAGCAGTAAATCCTTGACAGGAGAGTCTTTGCTGTCCTGAAAGGCAAGGAGGGCCATTGTGCGTTCCAACTCCTCCAAAAATTCCGGATGCTCTTCGCCGCGAGGTGCCATTTCTTCAGCAGCAAAGTTCAGCGCCCCTTCGTCGTCGCCTTGTCGAATCAGCTCAATCAGCCGTTGTTGTTGCAAATGGAAATACAATTTGGGATTGGTATCTAGAATCTGCAAGGCCCAAAAATAAATCAACATAAAAAAATGCGTCATCCGTTTCCAAACGCTCTCCAATTCTGGGCTGGTTCTTGTCGCCTCCATCTTAACCTCCCCTTAATCGTTACCTCGGGATTCAAATCATTCACCAAATCGATGGCTGCATCAATGTCGCCTGCTTGGACTGCATGGCGTATTTCCCTACGTTCTTGAATCGACAGCAAATCTACACAAGGCGAGAGGCCGCTTTCTCTGCTGAATTGTTCAGCTGCTTCCACGTAGCCTTCTATCACCAAGTAGTTCATAATCAGCTGATTCAATGTCCTAAAAAAAGCGTCATGAGTACAAGAACTTGAGGCTCTTCGTAAGATAAAAAGAAGAATAGAAACAAGGCCACCCTTGCTGATGATTTATTTTCTTTTCACATGGGTCCGCTTACTGCTTTTCTACTGTAACCTTGGCTAGTCGCTGTTCCCACTCATCTTTGCTGATAGTTTTCCTTTTGACAGTTGTGGATGCCATGACAAGCAATAAGTTACAATTAAAAAGAAAGAAAAGGCGAGGGTGAGAATTAGGAAAATAAATAGGTGCTGACGGCGGTCTTTTAAAAGAGATGCTTAGGCAGGAAGGCTTCTCTTTAAAACGTACAATTTTTTGTAGCGTTAAGAAAACATGCCCCAAAGTAACATCAAGCGAGCGTAAATGGAAAACAAAAAACCAAAAAAAAGATAGAGGTGTACATTCGTTTGTCAGGCACAGCTGTTACAAAACAGCTCGCCAGATCGCACACCAGAGTAAAAGCCAGCCAGGTTTATTTGTAAATCACGATGGGGGCATCCTCCAGCTGCTGCAGGACTGATGAGATACGTTCGTCGGTACAGACTGGGTCAGGACTGGGGTCTACTCGCAGAATCTTTCGAAAGCCTTCGTTGACATCGGCTGAGGGAGGCGAGTAATTTTTCACAAAGCGGCGCAAAATCTCCTGACCTTCGCTCCCTTGCACCCCGGTTGGGTGATCTTTCCGTGTCATGATACGCTGGGCACATTCCTGTGTTCCAAATAAAAGAAAGGGATGAGTTATGGATGTAATTATGCTGCGACAGGAAGTCCAGTGCTTACACGGGCACCAGCAGTGAAGACAATACAATCCACAGGAACACCATAGTCGCCAGCGATCTGTACCCATGTCTTGCGTTGATCCACGTCAAAATTGCACCGATCCACCACCACATTGAAGTCCAGATCGAGGAATTTTTTGGTGTACATTGCGCACGCTTTTCTAGATTTCATCTCATCTTGATTCACTCGCTTCCATTCCTAAAAAAAAAAAAAAGAGAGAGAGATAGCCATCCCGCAGAAGAAAAATAAAATGAAATGCAAACAGGTGAGACCGTGTAAACAACAAATGAAATCTTACTGGATGAGCGATTAGCTTGGTGGAAAATGTGCTTTTGCCCGAGCCAGGCAAACCAACGAGGACAAGGATGCGTGGCATCATGAAGATTATAATAGTCGAGGTTTGCTCAAACAACAAAAAAAAGGGGGGGAAGAAGAATAAAAAAAAAACGCCGCACTCATCCCTGCTGTCATCTTCGTGTGTAACACTTCACTTTTTTATTCATTGCTCTTGACTCAAGTAGCGCTGGTCATCTCACTCTTGATGCATTATTATGTAGCATACGTTGTTGCTTGTGCGATGTGCTACCATGCCCGGGGCGAGCTGCTAGGATACATTTTCGCTAGGTGGCCATTTCTGGGCCAACAGCGACGGGGTTTGAAACTGGGGCTGATCAAGAAGCTGAGATAGAAAAAAGCTGCACGACGCCAATAAAAAGTTGTGGAAGCCAATCTGGAATATCAGGAGCCCCAACAAAAGTTGTTCCGAGGTGTTACAACCTCGAAACGGAGCCAGGACTGCTAGGTCCGGGAATCGAACCCGGGTGGCACGCTTGGGAAGCGTGAATCTTGCCACTAGATCAACCAAGCATACGGTTTGATAGACCGTAGAAAGGGCCTTGTTGTGAAATCGGCAGTTCGGCGCCCGATTCGGCCCGAATTGCCGAATAATTGTGATTGGCCATTTTCCTTTTCCCTTTTTTGTTTTTTTCTCTCTCCGCTTCCAATTCTTATTTTATTTTTTGACATCTGAACCCTGATTAAACACATCTCTTTTTGACGTTTTGAAGCGGAAGTGAAAGGTCAACAGAAAGAAGGAGAAAACCCGTACTTTTGTTCTATTCCTGCAGTCCGAAACCCTTTTCCCTATACACCCACACGTGCCGTCATATCATTTTGGTGGAGGAGAGGAGCATACACAATTTTATTATTACAACTACCTACTGCAACAGTGACCGCACGACATCTTTTTTTCTTCTTTACACTTTTACTTCTTCGCTTCCCTTCCGAACCCCGACTTGAACCGTATACTTTTCCAGACATCTACCTCGTTTTTTTTTCTTTTTGACACTTTACATCGTACCAATCATGACCAACTCAATCGAATTGTACAACTTAATTGACAAGCCCGACAGCTTCAAAGGCGACCCTCAATTGGAAAACCCAATGTTGTGGTTACGAAATATGGAAACCTGGATGGATGCCTTAGACCTAACTGAGGAACAGAGGCTCAAGGTAGCACCTACGTTTTTGAAAGGCGCTGCTGCGACCCAATATGACAAGAAAATGGAAAAGCCGGAAACGTGGGCCGCCTTCACTGCAAGATTCAAGGAAACGTTTGTGCCAAGCGACCTGGAAGAAAGTTGGCGTAGGAAGTTGGATTCCATGAAACAAGACACGTTGTCGGTCTCTGCCTTGAAATTAGCTCTCGAAGAACTTTTCTTTCGTCTCGATATCACAAATGATAGCGAAAAGAAACGTCATTTGATTAAGTCACTAAATTGGGAACTAGCCAAGTGGGTGGAACGCAGCCGCCCTACCACCTACGACGAAGCCATTAGTTATGCCCGTCAGGAAGAAATCATCATGAGCAAATATGGCCGCACCAACCATCATGGAAGTTTGCAAAATCAAGATTATCGAGAGCAACAAGATCCTTCCCCATACTCAACTCCTATGGATCAAGAGAAACAGTGGTATCTACCAAGCCGAGATAATGAAAGCATCACTGACACGATGGACAATTTAGCCGACGCGCTCGGCAAGCTCAAGGTCCACTTCACTCCCCGTCCCACCCAAGCACCAGCGCGACGTTATCAAGTACCTCAAGATTATGGCCAACGCTATGAATCTGGTCCTTCTCGCAACACCCCACGTGGTCCATTCCAACCTTCCCGCCAACAAGGAAACGGCTGGACCTGTCACAACTGCGGCGATCCCAACCATTTTGTGCGCAACTGCCCATTCCCCGTCAAAACCGTGGTGATCCTTACCAACAACATCAAGGTCCGGGAAAAGACCAGGGACAATAGACCAAGGGATACCTATTGTCCTACAACCCCCAACTATCCCGATAAGAACGACGGATGATCGTGACAAAAAAAAAATAATAGCGAAAAAAAAACGATGACGACGCTTACACTTCCCAAAATTTCCTTAGTGAGACGCAAATACGCGCAATACAAGGTGTGAAGGTGTACAATGCAAAACATAGGAAGCGACGAGGACACACTGACGCCACAGGCAAGTTGGTGATCAAGGACGTGCCGCCTACCCCTGATGGGAAACCGAAACAAAGAGGTCCTCTCCGTCGTCTACAGGTGGATGTGCCCCCAGTTGACATTTGGAATGTGATGCAAAATACGACGGCTGGACCAGGTGGTGTATCCCTCGCGCAGATCCTCGCCAGAGACAAAAAACTGGCGAAAGACGTGGTGGATGGTATCCGTTACTGCCATGGTCGAAACGCCAAACGCCCTGTGATGCCCGCTGCGATAACTGACACAGGTGCTGCTCCTTCACCGTTCAAGGCCAACCCTACCCGCATTAACGTCGCTGTAGCCGTAGAAGACGTAGACGATGACTCTTTTGACGATGATTCAGTTTTTGATGAAGACGGTGACGCTGAATACTCTGAAGTGGAAAGTGACGTGGAAGAATCGTGGAACAATTTCCCTAAAGACGATGACTATGAAGACGTATTGAGTATAGCAGACGGGAAGGAGATGAAAAAACTATTGCCGTTCTCTGTCCCTGTTACGATCCTTGGTAAACCACTACAAGCCGTGGTAGACACTGGTGCAGCACTTTCCGTTATCAGTTCCGCGCTAGTGCATCGTCTTGGACTGGTGGTGGATGGCGACATGAACTTCACCGTGGAGAATTTGGACCAGTCGACAACAAAACCGGGTGGTCTCTGCCATGGGGTCCCCATCGAAGTGGCTGGTTACAAACGCCCTGATAACATGATTGTACAAGACCGCAACGATGACCTATTACTATTGGGTATGCCATGGTTACAACGCTATGAAGCTACGCCATTACCTGCCACCTTGGAACTCAAGTTGCCAGTATGTAAGGAACCTGAACAAAACTTACTGATAAGAGGTTGCGTTTGTGAAAATGATCCTGCAGTGCTATCGCGCATATATCATATCGCTACTCCAAGCTCGACTCCGAAGTTGGTAGTATTAAGGACATACTGTATTGGGCAGTGGGGATGGAGTCGAAGTCGACAAAACAATCGGGATGGAAGTTGGCAGTGGGGATGGATCAACGAAAGAAAAAGTTGAAAAAAAAAAAACAATTGGGACCGACGGATCTGAGGGCGCAAATTATCAAGTCCGACAACCAGGCTGTCCATGATCTAGTGACCCGATACCTAGCATGTTTCGTCGAACAAACTGTCCCGTTTAGTGATGATTCTGCCATACCATTATGGTTAACGAAGATAGGCCTATCGCAGGGAAGCCGTACAGATTGACCTGGGAACAAGACGACGTGCTCAAGAGCACGCTGAATGATTTGTTGGCAGAAAAATTAATCCAGCCTTCCCAAGGACTGTATGCAGCCCCTGTAATTTTTGTAGCGAAGAAGACAGGAGACCTCAGAATGTGCGTGGACTACAGGAAGCTGAACGCGGTGACGGTCAAGGACTCCTTTCCTTTACCCCACATCGACGACATTATCGATGCTCTAGGAGAT